GACATCCATGAGGTCGTGGAAAGAGGCGGGAGCAAAGCTCGCCATTCCCATGAATTCGGATGTGAGAGGGGGCGGCGCTAGCATCCTTCGGAGCCCCCGTGCATATGCGCCCGTGGGGGACGCGAGGCCGTAGGGGAACCGGTTGCATGGCAGTCGCGGCAGAGACAGCGGGGTCCCTCTGGAGAATCGGTGGAAGATAGTAAATAGCGAGTAAATAACAGTATGTATGTTACTTACAACGAGGTTTGAGCCCAGCGTGGGCTCAGAGCGAAGCGTAGGCGCCTCGTCGTTGAAGTCGTCGGGTGTCCCTGTGTCGACGAAGGGCGCCCCTCCGACGGGCGTCGGGACAAGTGCCTTCTCGCGAAGGCGCAGCACGCCAAGCCGATCGGCGACAAAGTCCAGGCTTCCGAAGAGGAAGGCCTGGGATGGCTCGAAGATGGGTGGAACCTACATCCCAATAGGTGGGAGTGTGGGAAACTCTAGCTAGCTGAAGTGAGTCGTATTGCTTGAGCCCGCCATGGCAAAGATGGCAACAAAGTGGGCCATTCGATGACCAAAAGCATGAACGTACGGCGTCTTCCCCACGGACGGTGCCAACTGTCGGTGCGAAAAGTGACCAATACGTAAATATTTGTAGTTTTGCCATATGTTGTGATCGGATGTGGCCTAGCACTCAATGACACATGGTTTATACTGGTTCAAGCAATGTGCCCTACGTCCAGTTTGAGTCGGTCGGTGACTTTATTTCTGAGCCTAGGTGCTCGAAGTTTGCTATGGGGTTATAAACGAGAAGGAGTAAGATGGAGGTATCAGAGGTTCGGTTGGACTCCGGACCGAAGGGCCGAGAGTGACGGGAGCTCCGACGTGTGCTAAGTGTTTGAACGTCTGTTGTTCGTTGGAATCCTTGGTTGTTCGGATCATTCTTATTGGGAGAGAGCGCATCCCCTTTTATAGATGAAGGAGACGGCCTTACAAGAGAGAGAGAGTGTGTGTGTGTGTATGCTACTAAGTCTTGTTGCCCACGGCGTCAGGTACAAGATGATTGTAGGCGCCCATAATATTATTTATGTCAGACGCATGTGGGAGGTTTTACCGTATTCACCATGTATGGCAAATGACGGCGCCCACAACACTGTTGATGCCTAGAGGCATATGGGGGGTTTTACCGTGTTCGCTTGGTATGGGAATTGATGGCGCCCACAACACTGTATGGCAAACATCGGCGCCCACAACACTGCTTGGGTTCTGACATGCATGGATGGTTGCAGGGCACCCTTCTGTCATGCCCTGTCGGTACTGTCCTGCAGACGTGCAGGGTACGATCCTCGGTATTGCGTTTGACTTGAGCGCCCTGCTTTACTCGCTCCGCCCATTTCCTGGGTCCTCACTGAGCAGGCATCCCTAGTCAGCTGGTCCCCAGTCGGCTCTGACTATGTAGGTCGGAGTAGAGCTATAAGCAGAGGTTTGGTGTATCACCGATCGAAGACGCGGGTCGGAGTTGGAAGCGTCGTTCCTCCTTGGCTAGGCCTTCTGGTCGGAGAGACGGGCCGGAGTCAGAAGTGGTGTTGGCTAAGCCTTACGGTCGGAGAAGCGGGTTGGAGTCAGAAGCGAACGTCCTCCCCTCCTTGGCTAGGCCTTCCTGTCGGAGACGCGGGTCGAAGTCAGAAGCGTCGTTCCTCCTTGGCCAGGCCTTCTGGTCGGAGACGTGGGCCGGAGTCAGAAGAGAGCGCCGTTCCTCTTTGGCTAGGCCTTTCGGTCGAAGAGGTGGGTCGGAGCCAGAAGCGAGCATTGTCCTTTCCTTGGCCAGGCCTTTCGGTCGGAGACTGGATCGCCCTTCTGGCCTGTCGTTAGGTTTTTGGGCCAGCCCAGGAGTTACGCGTCGTTTGCAACGTCGTCTGTTGGGCCGAGCTTTTACTGGGAAGCAGGTCCATGAGGGACCTTGGGTTTATGAACCCGACAGGTGCCGACCACTACAAGACTAGTGTCGAGCACTCCCACAGTGGTGCATACAACTCTTGGAGTGGTGACGAGCAGTCCAGGAGTAGTGCCGAGCACTGCATCTGAACAAGGAACTCCATCAACGCTGGTCGAGTTCGCCTCACCTCCAAGTGACATCACTGAGTTCGTGGATGCCTTCCACGAAGGTGAGGAGGTTCGGTTCTGAAGGCTAGACGACATCATCGGCGGCACAGGGCCCTCAGGCCTGGCGGGTAGGCTACTCAATGACCTAGAGCTGCTTCTCGTTAGTGTAGAGGAACCACCCATGTTCGCGCTGGCCGAGCGCGATACACACTGGCGACGGGCGATGCTGGAGGAGATGAAGGCGATCAAGGAAAATAAGACTTGGGAGCTCGTCGATCCACTTCCACGATGCCGTTTGATCGTTTTGAAGTGGGTGTACAAAGTCAAGCGGGACGAGCACGGTGCCATTGTTAGGCACAACGCGTGCCTCGTCGCCCGAGGCTTTGTCCAGCGCGAGGGCATCGACTTTGAGGAAGTCTTTGCACCAGTAGCGCGCATGGAGTCTGTCTGTTTGCTACTAGCTTTGGCCACAGCAAAGGACTGGCGCGTCCATCATCTGGATATAAAATCGGCCTTCCTCAACGGTGAGCTGGCGGAGACGGTCTTCATCAGACAACCTCCGAGTTTCACCATCAAGGGGGCGGAGCACAGGGTGCTCAGACTGCGCAAGGCACTCTACGGGCTGCGGCAAGCCCCACGAGCGTGGAATGCCAAGCTTGATGCCACGCTGGGCGAGCTTGGGTTCACAAGGTGCGCAACCGAGCACGCGCTCTACACGCGGCGACGGGGGAAGGAGGAGCTCGTCGTCGGCGTGTATGTGGACGACTTGATCGTCACCGGCGCGTGTGCGGAGGACATCGATAGTTTCAAGCGTGAGATGGCGGCTTATTTTCGAATGAGCGATCTCAGCGCACTCTCCTACTACCTCGGCATCGAGGTGAGACAGGGGAAGGAGGTACTCACGCTCGGTCAGAGCGCGTACGCCTCGATGCTGTTGGAGCGGAGCGGAGTGGTATGGCTGAGTGCAAGCCTTGCGTGACTCCGATGGAGGAGCAACTGAAGCTGACGAAGGCTAGTACCGCGGTGAAGGTAGATGCAACACTCTACCGGAGCATCGGCGGTGGTCTACGTTACCTAGTCCACACGAGGCCGGACATTGCGTTCGCCGTGGGCTACGTCAGTCGCTTCATGGAGGATCCCAGAGAGGATCACTGGGCTGTAGTGAAGTGGCTACTGCGCTATATCAAGGGGACGGTGGATCAAGGGATTGTCTTTTTCAAGACCGGTGGAAGTATGATGCAGCTCACTGTGTTCAGCGATGCAGACATAGTGGGGGACATCGACGGACGGCGGAGCACCTCTGGCGTGCTCGTCTTCCTCGGGTCGGCTCCAATTTCATGGCTATCGCTGAAACAGAAGGTGGTGGTGCTATCTACGTGCGAAGCAGAGTACGTAGCGGCGGCCACAATGGTGTGCCAAGCTGTGTGGCTACGCCGGCTGCTGGGCGAGCTGGCCGGTGTGGAAGCTCACCCACCAGCACTGATGGTGGACAACCAGCCCGCCATCGCCCTCACGAAGAATCCAGTTCTTCATGACCGGAGCAAGCAGATCGTTGTCAAGTTTCACTTCCTCAGGAACTGTGTCGATGGAGGACAGATCGTCATCGAGTTCGTCGAAATTGGTCGGCAACTCGCGGACGTCCTCACCTAGCCGTTCGGCCGTCTTCGGTTCATGGAGCTAAAGGAGATGATCGACATGGAGGGGGTTCAAGGGTTAGCAGTAGGATTAGGGGAAGAATTGTTAGATAATCTATTGTTTTCTTGTGTGAACACACGGCAGGAGAAGGCGGCGTCGAAAAGGTACCCTGTTGTGGTACTGTAGCCGTTGCAGGAGCAGGCGCCGAACGGCTCACCTGCCGCACTGTAGCCACAGCAAGAGCCAGCGCCAGAGTCAGCCCTGCTGTCTCATCTAGTCACTGTAGCAGCATGGCAGCTGTACTAGAACTAAATGGATAGAGTTGTATATATAGTTTGTCATTGCAACTCAGTAAAGAGAGATTTTAGTTTTGCCATCTCCTATATAGAGCTCCGGCCAACGCTGGTGTCTCTGCTGTGTGTGTGCTCTGTTCTCCCTTCCTTCTTCTACGTCTAGGCATAGTGTGTGGTCGGACAATGATAATCATGGTCAACAACGCTGGTGAGTGATCGACTCACCCGTGTCGATGATCCTGTGGGCCAACAGTCTGTTCCAAAACAGCCCGTTGGTGTAACTTCATCAGACTCCATAACCAGCTATAGATAGAGGCAAGAAAGTTGCAGAATTCGTGGACATCTAAGCTACACAGGGAACAAGTAAAGAAGGGGTCTAGCTTCACCAGCAACCAGCCAGAGGCAACAGACCTGGAGAATTGGTGAACATCTTTTCATTTTTTTAACGAACAGAATTGGTGGGCATCTATGAATCTATAATGATACAGGGAACAAGGAAAGAAGAAAGGCAAGAACTGGCGCGAATCAGCACATAGCGACATACATACATGGTCCGGAACATCCGGAAAGAAATCCTTTCCAAAATGAAAGATATGCAGCAAGGCGAGCAGTACTTCAGGCAAACCTTTTGTTGTTGGCTTGGCTCTATCTGTTGCTGTTCCTTTCCATTTTGACCTGCTCTTGTAAATTTTGTTGCTTCCTCTCAAAATGAAAGAACGGAGCACCTGCCATTTGCCCTCAAAGAAAAAAAAACATGTATACTCTACATACTCATCTCTGTCTACCCCTAACTTCTAGAACAACCTGTCTGTTCAAAAAAAAAAAACACCTGTCACACACACACATATATTTTTTACTTAGTGGAGTATACACCTAAAATTTTGTCTAGTCTATACACTACTGAACAATGAAGAAATCGACGTGAACAAAGAGATGAAACGAACCAAGAGTATATGCAACAACTGTTGTGTTTGTGTATAATAACTATCACTACCACTGGGACCACCCACGCTGCGTACGTGTATTCCTATGTGCGCTCTTCCTCCTCCGGCGAATCGCCGCCGCCTCTTTCTCGACGTCCTCCCCGGTGTTGAGGCTGAGCTGGGCCAGCTGGCGGGAGTGGTTCCCGATGATGGTGGCGGCGAGTCGGTCCTCGGGGAGTATGATCTCGTATCCGTCCCTGAGCGTGTCCATGCCGCCGTCAAGCAGCTGCCAGAACGCGCCTCCGACGAGCGGGCCACCCCGTGCGGCGGAGGCGTAGATGGAGTCGAGCACGAGGCGCAGGAAGTAGTCCCGCTGGGTGCGGTTGGCGCCGGCGACGCCCTCCCAGAGGAACTTGCCGTACTCGGTGACGAGCAGCGGCTTGCGCAGGTAGAGGTCGGCGTCGCGGGCGTGGGAGCGCGTCCAGTTGCGGAGGAAGGCGAGCTGCGCGTCGGCGGCGGAGCCCCAGAGCCAGACGTCCGGGTACAGGTGGATGGTGGCGAAGTCGACGCCCCGCGCGCGGTGCGTCTCCACGAAGTTTGTGCCGTAGTAGATGCCCCACGGGTTGAGGTCCTTGCTCTCGTGCGCGCCGGCGCCGTAGAAGCCCTCCAGCCCCGCCGTCACCAGGTGGCCGCCGTCGATGGACTTCACGTACGGCGCCATCTCCTCCACCCACGCCTGCATGCGGCCACGCGCGCGCGCGGTGAAGTCAGGTCAAGTCAAATCCACGGCGGTCTGCGGATGAATGGTCGTGGTCGGTGGATCATGTGGCTCGTAGGTGATCGTCGTTCGGTCGACAGCCAGGAGCCAGCGTTAATTGCGGCCGGCCAGGTCTTTGGGTTTTCAGTTTTCATTTGATTTGATTTGATCAGGGTGCATGTGAGGGTAGAGCACGACTGGCGCTGAATAATTCGGCGTGGTGCACGAGCTAGCTGATTGGTAGTGGATCGTGGATGGATGGAGGAGGAAGGAGGGTGGTGACCGTGAACTCACCTGTACCAAGGCGCCGGTAGGCTCGGCGTCGCAGCGGGGCTCGTTCATGAGCTCCCAGCCGAGGATGGTGGCGTCGTCCTTGTACGCCACGCCGGTGAGGGTGTTCACGCGCGTCAGCACCGTCTGCATGCGTGGCAACAGAAACCGTGAATATGGAAGATGGAAATGGAACCAACCAACGCAACTCAAAAAAAAGGTTGCTGACATGCATCGATGCTAGTCATCAGCTAGCAGACACTGTGAAGAGGGTGATGCATATAGACGTGTATGAGAGTCAGGGATACCTATACCTTGACGTGGTTCTTGTAGTAGTCCTTGACGACGGTGCTGTTGAAGAAGTCGTCGTCGGTGGCGAGGCGGTGGCCGGCGTCCCTGGCCCACTGCACGTACTGCCGCTTGCCGCCGAAGTCGTGGAAGTTGTTTGTGAGGCAGAGGAGGAGGTAGATGCCGTGCCGCCTGGCTTCGGCGACCACGAAGTCCAGCCCCTGGAAGCAAGAAATGAAGAAAACCCAGCGATAGATTCTTTTTATCGCTAGCTGTTGACAACACCACCTCGACACGCACGCACGGCAAGTACGTCGCGCTTGGGTTTGCACGTTACGGTGGTTACGGTAGCGACCTGGAACATGGCCTCGTCGTAGACGCCCGGCGCCGCCTGCAGCGGCGTGTCCCCGCCGTCGCTGAACGCCCAGGTCCGCGCGAGGTTGAGCCCGTGGTCGGCCGCCTGGCGGAACGCCGCCACCACCTTGCCCCTGCGCGCCGGGTCCGACGCCACCAGCATCAGCCAGTAGGCGTTGAACCCGCTGAAGTAGATGGGCCTGCCTCCGCCTCCGGCCACCGCAAACCGCGTGCCGTCCACGCCCACCATGCCGCCGCCGCCGCCCGTCGTCTCGGCGTCCGAGCCAGCACCAACCGCCGCCGCCGCCGCGGCCAGGAAGATGAGCAGGAGAAGGATGGCCGCGGCCGGCCGTGGCTTCGCCTTCGCCATTGCTGGCTCGAACTCCCTCCGGTGCACCTGTCGACTGTCGTTCACCGCGGCGCATGCATCGGCTTGTCCGTCGGGTAATGCACGGCCGGCCGTTTAATAGAGCGCCCCCGGGACCGGGACCCGGGAGGAGGCGCCGCCTGGAAGCAGAATGGGTTGAGCACGCGGCGCCACCACTCGTACGTACGTGTCCGACCTGCGCAGCTAGGCCCTGGCGGCCAGCAGCGACGGCGCCGTCCGCCTCCGTTTGAATTTGAATACCTTCCGGGACTGTTCTGTTACCGCAGCCGGCGTGCGTACGAGGCGCAGAGGCAATCCGAATCTATCCGTCTTTGGACCGTCCGCAGACCGGTCGGCCTAGAGTCCCGTTCCGTGCCGTGCCGAACTCACGCAGGTAGTAAGATGGCTCGTCCCGTCACGAAACCGTACGTAGAAATGGCCGACGGAAGGGAGGCAGGGCGGGCGGCGGGAAGACGCGACGTGCCGGGGTCCACGGGAACGGACCGCGGAAACGACGGCGAGGCAGAGAGGCAAAGGCGCAAGCGCCACGAGTCCACGACTGGTGGAACAGGGAGCGGTGGAGGAGCAAGGAATCCGCGGGGCGGCACGACGCTCGTCCGGGCTCGGTTGGACGCGGGGCAACGGGCTGCTTTGCCTAGGCCGGCAGGGGCTGAGGGCTGACGCCTCATGTCTCGGCTTCGGACGGCCGCTCGACCTAGCTACCACGGTGTCGTGTTGCGTTCGGTTTGGATGGATGGACTACGAGAGATGCCGGCGCAGGCTGCAGGACACGAACCCACGGCCACGCCACAGTGCCTCTGATGCCAATTGCTGTTACTCCGTCCTACGACTACTCATTATGTTCACTCGTCGCGCAGCACTAGTACGCCCTCAGCTCAGTATCGTTGCTTCTCTTATAATCCGTCTTTTTAGATTGTTTTTTAACTGAAACAATATTTTTTTCGCAACAAATCAGCTAAAACAGTGTTTCGACTTTTTTTTCAGCGAAGCGAACGGGGCCATAATTGTACGTATGTACCGGCAGGCAGATCATCGACTCGAACCGGCAGGCAGATCATCGACTCGAATTACTGCTCATCATTTTTTTCCTCCCCACACCGACACTACAGATTGGCTGGCGTGTGCAGTGTGCGTGATCCCGTCCGTGGTCGGCTACGGCAACGTGCCCGAGTCCCCGACTGGATGGATGCATGGATGATTGGCCTGCATCCAAACGCGAAGCCGGACCTGGCCACCTGGGTACCGCGACGGGACGGCGTACGCCTACGTGGCTCCAGACGTGGTGCCACGCCGTGGAGTCCGTCGCTGGCTGAACAAAGCACGCGTTCAAAATTCAGACAGGGGCTTTCGTAGGTACTCCTACAGCAGTATATATACTGATGCTTGGCTCCTGAACAAGCAAAACCCGATCCGACACGGCGTCAAAAAAAAAAAAAACGATCCGACACGGAATTATAGTATAATACTCCGAATCTACTAGTAGTATGTAGGTCACGACTACGATGCCACCGTATATTTTTCCCGAAACCGACTGTGACGTCACTGGCCCACCCAACCGTAAAAATATTTTTCCAACCTAACGCTACTTCTTCATTACAAAAAGAGAGAGTAGAGTGTCAAATTGGGGAAACGGGTAATTTCTGCAGCTTGGTAACCCTTTCTTTAGATTCTAGGATTGGCACTTGCCATCTTGTTTTAACTTTCTGAAAGCGAAAGAACCGATGCCGATTGTAGCGGTACTGTTTGGTTCATAAATAAAGTGGATGTGGAGTAACAAAAAGTCCAAAAGTCGGAGCAAAGTTACGGTGGCCGTGTGCTTTCGGCCTGCCGTCTGCAAAAAATTTCGAGCACAGCTCCGATCCGAAAGATGCTGGTAACTTAATATTTCTCAAAACTTTATTAGCCTTTACTCACGAACAACGGCACAAGGGAATGGCGTGTTATCAGGCTTCTCCAGAACTGCACTCTCAACGTTTCTTCAGGCCTCCGCATGCCATTTGTCCAGGGCAGGGCAAGCCCTTCTTTCTACACACACGCCGCTGGTAGTGGTAGACAATATGCATTGCAGTTGCAGTGCAGCCCTGCGTGGTGCCATACTGCCATTTGCCATGGGCGGCCAGGAAAGGCACTTCGTCGTCGGAGCCAAAGGATCGTGTCAACCTTGCACACAGGTTGGAGTGTTTGACACACGACCGTGCCGCTGCCGCCACAGCGCACAGCGGCACAGACATCGCCATCTCCTGTTACCTGGACAGACAGTTGGGTCTCTAGTGTCTCAACACATGCACCGCCCACTTGAGACCCGTCTCGCTCACTCCCCAACTCATCGGCCCTTTGCTCTCTCTCTTTTCGCTTCTGGAAAACCTTCTCTGGATGATGAACTGTCAATGAATCTATCCACCGAGAGATCTCAACGAAATGGCCATGAATCTTTTGCAATAAGAGCTCTTTCAGGGACACATCACGGTACTGGAGTATCTTTTATTTATTTTACTTGAGAAACAAAACAACCCGAGGATGTGAATGAGAGGACGTGATCGATCAGTGCAAGTTAATGCAGGTCGCTGCATCCAATCCAAGAGGGACACAACAGACAACACCAAGGAATCAGAGAACTCGAACTGAATGAGACCACAAGAGTTTCACAAATACGATGAGGAATGGAATGACGTGGTATCAGGCTTCTCCAGAACTGCCCTCTCAATTTTTCATCAGGCCTCCGCGTGCCTTGTCGTCCTGGGCAAATAAACCTTGGTAATGGCAGACGACGACGCATATGCAATATGCATTTGCCATGGCGGCCAGGAAAGTAGTTGGTCGTGATAGGATCGAAAACACTTCTAGGCGTAGATCGGTGGGTAAATTACTTGACTTAGATAGATTTGGTGATATACCTCGCCACATGTAGTCGCTGCCATAGCGCCGCAGCAACGTGGCCGCCGGTGTCGTAGCAGTGCATGCACGATGCAGTGACGGTGGTCGAAGGCGATGGGAGGTGTATCGGTCCGGTGGTGGCACTTCTCGTCGCTTCAGCACTCCCTTGATCGGTAGGGTTAGGGCAGTAAGTGGGGATCATGGCGGCTGTAGTGAACCTCTTCTCTGCGCCCTGGCCCCCCATCTCCCTCTATATAGTGCTGCGCGACGGGGGCCCACCAACCTTGGTTTGGTTGGATGCCTGTCGATGTTTGACCACCGATAGCCTGCCACGGGGGTACCCGATGCAGTATGTTCGGGCTTCAGCGTATGCAAAACTCGACGGTGAACGCAAGAGACAGTCGATTTATCCTGGTTCGGACCCTCGATCGCTGATCAAGTAATAGCCCTACTCGATCGCTGATCAAGTAATAGCCCTACGTCCAGTCGGCGTTAGCCCTTGCGTTGTATTGATTGTCTGGTGTTATGTCGTTACAGCCGTAAAAGTCGTGATCCTCCCGTCTCTAGGAACCCTGCCCTCCTTTATATAGTCAGGAGGTCAGAATCCTAGTCGATTTACGATGAGAGTTCCTAGTAGGATTACAGAATAATAATACTACTAAGATTATATGAGAAGAATCCTAGTTAGACTAGATCTTCTCCCTTCCTTGCGGGGTATCCCGTGGGTCCCGCACCGACAAGCCCCCGAGCACTTCATGGTTGAGCTCTGGAAGCCTCGTCTTGTTCCTTCAGGTCTTGCCGAACAGGAACAAGCGTCGTCCGGGTGCTTTCTTGAGCGAAACCGTGTAGCGCTTCGTGAGATCTTCGCGTGATGTGTACCTTTTTGAAAAAAAAAGTACTCCCATTTGGGTGTATCCCCCGAGCCTCTTGCTTTTTGGCACAAGGAGCTGGAGGGTCTTCTTTTGAATTCACTATGATTCTTCATTGAAGGGTTCCTGAGCATATACCCGGGTTCTTTATCAAAAAGAGCTCGGATATAGCTAGGTCCAGGTTTTTTTTTATCGTGAGGTCTTGAAGTGATCTGTCTTGAAGAAGTCTTTTTGGTGATGTGCGCTTTTTCGGAGAAAAAAGTGCACTCACTGAGTGTAGCCCCCGAGCCTCTTGCTATTTAGAACAAAAAATTAGAGGGTCTTGAATCTCATGTTGTTTAAAAACCGCTGCCTTGAGGAAGTCTTCACTCACTGAGTGTAGCCCCCGAGCCTCTTGCTATTTGGAACAAAGAGTTGGAGAGTCTTGATTCTGAGTTGTTCAAGTTACTGATAACCTCTTCTGTTGCAGCCTCGTCTTGAATTTGAGTTGTTCAAAGGACTGAAAGCCTTTCCTATTGCAGCCCCTGAGCATATATCCGGGTTCTTTTATTCGAAAAGAACTCGGATACAGGATCTTAGCATGTTCTCTGGTAGTCTGCTGTTGTCAGATGTAGTTGTATAATGGTGGTTGAGAGTAAATGTTGTTGGTTCACGAGTTGTACAGTGTTGGTATATTCTTCCGAATATGCTCGTTCTTGAGTACTGCTCCTTCACGCCTGAGTCTTCTTTCATTGAATTTTGTCTTTTCACTGTGTCCTTTGTTAGGTTTGCTCTATTGATGCTCCCGGTCCATGTGCACTGTTTCTTTGGTCTATAAATACCCTCCTGGTGTGCTGTTTTGATTCATCGAGCATTTTGTTGCGTGGTCTGAAATCTCCGTAGCCATGAATATGATAGTTTGTGAAGTATAGCAGCCCTCGGACGTATTCTATAGTTCTTGTACATCTTGTCGTAGCTGGAGAAAGTCTTGTGATAGGGATTAGAGGTAGACTAATCCCGCAGCAGTATTGTACTTGGAAGTACGTGGCGGTAGTTGGAGGAAGTCTTGTGATGTAGGATGCGTTCCTTCATCCAGCAGTTCTGGGTTGATCTTCGCCGCCTGTCTTGAGACTGTCCGGTGTAGATCAACACAATATTTGGTATCACATCAGACTTGGGTAGACAGATACCTGCCGGCTTCCCCTGGTCTATGTTGTCTCGCCGTGCTGCTGATTTCCGCCTTGGATGCACTGCGTCCGT